TAAAAAAATTTTACAATAATAATATTTTTAGATCTTATAATTTAATAAATAAAAATATATCACACGTATTTTATTTTGAATAAATATAATACGTTTTTTTACAATCTTTGTCTGATCCAATTTTCTAATCCACCAGTACATAACTAAACTTGCAATACTAATACCCACAACAACACCAAACATAACTCTTGGACCACCCGCACTATCATATAACATACCACCAAATAAACTTCCAAATCCAGTACCAAATCCTGCATATACGGCTGTCATAACGCCTTGCGAAAATGAGATGAGATTAGGTGGTGCACTATTAGCAATATGCGTGACACCAGAAATCCACAAAGCGGAGAAGCCAGTACCATTTAGGAGTTGAGCAAAGAGCGCCAACGTATATGAAATTGTGTTTTTTTGCAAAAATATATACATGAAACATCGTATTATTGTTACTATGTGAGCAAGGAAGACCAATGAACAAAGACCGAATTGAGATATTAACTAATATTATAAAATTGATACAAATTTTTTTTTTTGATTTAAGAAAGAATAATTATTAAATTAAATATGTAAATTAAATATGTAAATGAAATAAAATTGGTGACAAAAAAAAAAAAGTTACCTCTTTTGAATAAAAAAAGAACAATAGTTCGGCGACAGCACTAATTGGACCTGTTAAACCAAGAACTATCGAACTAGCTCCCAATTCTTGATTAAGAAATAATAATAAGAATGCGTTACTCATGGCAAAGGCAGTTCCCATTAGTAACATGACTATTAATAAGGTCACTACTGAAGGATTTGTAAGTAATTTCTTCATTGAAGAAGTAGGATCATTTGTAAAAGAAGCAGTAGGAAGATTGAGTGATGTTGGTGGAAATGCCAAAATATCTAAATCGGGTACCAACATCTCGTCTTCATCTTCATCTATCGAAGAATCATCCCCATCAAACTCACCAACATGAGAAGACATATTAATTACGGAACCATTATTAAATTTAACGCTGCCTCTCGAACTAGACGCGACATCATCATTATCATCGAGATTAATCAATGGTTTAAAAGAAATATCATTTGACCGTGTTGTAATTATATCAAAATCATCTATAAACTGATTAAAATCAGTACAAAGAGTACAAATTAAAAACATGATTGCACTTCCAAAGAAGTAGTAAAAGACAACGTTGATGTTATCTGCAGCACTCCACAAAAGACCAATTAATAAGGTACTGGTTCCGTATGAAACAGATCCCCACAATCTCTGTTGACCTTTATGAATTATAAAGGAAATCAAAAAATTAATATATATTAAAATAAATAGCTCAAGTTTTTTTAAACATTCATTAAAAAGATCAACATACCGTAAAGTTCTCTTTTATCACCAAGAATTTTTAGTACTCCACTATCGACCAATGCATTAACAGGTACACCAAAGAAAGCAAACCATAGCGCAGCAAATAACACACACACTAGAATAAAACCATTATTACTTGAATTATGAACGTCAATTGTTAATGGTAAAATCATTTGAACAATAATACTAAAGGCCGCCAAAATATAAATTATAGTAATGATGAATCGATGTGCTTGAAATTTGTCAGCCAGACCCGTCCAAAGAGGACAGCTCAAAGCAGAAATGAAAGGTGCAATAGAAAAGACAATACCAATTTGTGTAGATGTTAAATTTAAACTTGTATTATAAAAAATTGGGAGAAAAGGAAGAACTGAACCCATGCCCGCACATAACATAATAAATAATAATTTTGGTGCAAGATAAGGTACAGAATAAATTCTTGAAAGCATTTGATTCAAAAGATTCCAGATATACCCAGCACGAGTTTCACTCGGATGTACCATAAAGGTACTTGAGCCATTTTGAAATATTTTTGAAAACCAGTCTGGTGGAGCAAATTGTAAAGTAGTTGAGGATTGAGCCCGTTTAACGCGGGGCTTTTGTGATTTATGAGGCACCATCGCGTAGAAAAAATGTTAAGATTCGTTTCGATTTCTACGTATAACGAATAACGTTGCGATGTTGATTAAATTCTTTAACGTGTTACAAGCAGATAATCTAATTGGCCTAGAAAACTTTAAATCTTATAGGTCATTAACTTTTATGCACATACCCCCCATATTTAGAAGATAAAAATATTTGGTTTACAGTTACTTCTTGTTGCCTTTAATTACAACTTTCATTCATGCTGTACCATTTTTATTTTAATTGTACGTACAAAAGTTCCGAAAGTATTTCAGAGACTACTTATTTACCATATGTAGATACCAGATTATTCTATCTTCCATAATTCATATGAAACCTTAGAAATTACGTAATCTCTGGTACTTATTAGAAAATTGGAAATGGCATCACAAACACTGAAATTAAGTTACGTAATTCTATCTCCTTATTTGTTATCGTGGGGAAGCAAAGCATTTTGGTAAAAAAAAAAAGAATTCGATTTTAAGAAATCAGAAATCACCTAACAATCGATATTTCCTGCGCTTTGCAAAAAGGTGTGTGACCTCTGCAGATCATGATTTCATGTAAAAAAATCACTGATTCAGAATAAATACCGGGTGTTTCAAAAGTTCTAAAACACGGTCTCTTTTTTTAAGTGACCTTATACATTGAGATCACTTTCATAAATGATCTCTATCGCTATGTATAAAGTCACTTAAAAAAAAGGGATCGTGTCTGGAACTTTTGAAACACTCGGTATGTAATATTACTGATCGAATATACGATTTAGAATGTCAGAAGTTTCCTGAATAACCTAACAATCGAGCGATTTTTTTTTTTGATGATTTGCAAAGTCGCAATAAAGTGTTTATTATAATGTTCAGATGAGTGTCGCGTGAAAAATCTGATTACTTGTACGACTTAATAGCTACAACCGAAGGTTGATCCTTTGCATCACTGCGCCAAAAATTAAGCTTTTCTTTGAATATTATCTTTGGTACAACTATATCCATATGGAATACTGTATCTACGTGGGGCGAAAATTCAACTAATCACTCGTACGTACAACTTTAATCATTTTTATATTTATGAGCTTTCCAATTTGGTTACTTACGTACTAGCCACTAAATCTGTGGATAAATTTTAATATATATATGCAGTATATCAGGTATATATATCAGTATACTGGGTGTCCCAAAAGTTCCTATACATGGTCCCTTTTTTAAGTGTTGCATAAATAATCATCTATATATAAGGTCACTTTAAAAAAAGGGACCGTGTATAGGAATTTTTGAGACACCCGGTATACGTACATACGTAAGTACGTACGTAGCATTAGATCACACTATATTGGAAATTTAGTTTTTTATACCGGTATTTTAGTGATTTAGTAATTTATTTAGTGATCAATAAAAAAGGTCCTGTTCAGGAACTTATCAAAACCCGGTATAGTGGTGTTTAACACCACAGTTTTTTTTAATCGTTTTACTATGGCACGTTATTACGTAGTCGCTCACTTATCGAATCGACAAACAATCATTCGGTCAATTTTTTTACTTGATGTCCCAAAATTTTTTTTTAGAAGCTTTCAAATTTTGACCCGGCCGGGTTATGAAAATCAATTAATTAATTTTGCATGGCCTTATTTGAAGAAATGAAACAAATTTCTGCTGTAGTTGTAAGTTATCTTAAAATAATAATAATGATATAGTAGTAATATTATTATTAATATTAAATTATTTCATAATTTTAGAATCCTGACAATACTATTTTCGTAATGAATGGAACAATCAGTTAGGCTACTGAATCTCAGGCAAAAACTTTTCATGAAGCTGCTGATATCGGTTCGATTATAATAACTAAAAAAATGGATGGTCATGCAAAGGGTAACGGAGATATATCAGCGTAAGGCATTGGTATGAATTTATATTGTGCTCAAAATCATAAAGCACTTCTTGGTTTTTACGCTTTTCTTTTCCCATTGATATTGTTAAAATATATTTAAAGTGTCGCAGCAACACATAGTCCAATTATTTTTATTGATTCCGGTGAACATATTCATGATCTGGAAAGATTTGAACCTAGGCGATTTGTACAAAAAATGCTAGGTTGGTTTGTTCTTTTATTTTTTTTGTTAATATTTTTAAATTCTCTACCATAATTATTATATTTATTTTTTATGTCAATAATTTTTAAAAAGGTATGGGTGATCTCATTGAAAAAGTAGAAGACTTAAAATTAGATCAGAATAAGAATTTACTGAAAAATTTGGAGCAGGGTTAGTTATATTTATTGGATTGTATTAATTTGACATATTTGTATTTATTGAATTGTATTAATTTGACATATTTGTATTTATTGAATTGTATTATTTTGACATATTTAATTTACTATAATTGACAGTATGAGTGTATCGGAGCTTGATTCTGATGGTAAAATTTTTATACAACAGCCTGCTCGCGTACTGCGTGTGGCACAACATCTGTTAGAGAGGTCTATTTTACTTTTTTTATTTTATTTTATTTTGTTTTTTTTCCGTTTAAAGTAATAATTATATCTTCTTTTTTTTTAATATATTGTTGAACTTGGCTAGTGTTACAAATCGGACCAAAAAATGCAATCGATTAGTTGGTCAAAAATTTTTTAAAAAATCGATTAAAAATCG